TTAAGCTTATTCCAATAATCTGTGTTTCCTTGGTTATTTTGTGATAACCGGTCAAATTTGCAGAGAAGGTTCAAGATAACTAATATACCTAGGCCGTTAAAGACATCAATTTTAAAAAATCTCAAACTTTGTATCCTTTTTATCTCTTAAATTCAAAATGCGCAGTAATGCAATGTAAGTGATTTTACTGCACACGCAAACATTCGTAGGAGTAATAATAAGCTTGTCGCCATCCCGGTGAGTCACTTAGGCATATCAAAGTACATACACAGGGCACAACCTAGTTAGCCAGAACTCTACACCAGGAGCTCGCTCACAAATATGGTCTCGTGGATCGGAAACTGCCTTATTATAAGTACTTGCCCGAAGCCGTGCTCGAAAATGACCGCGCCAGGCTCTACTGGGATCGGGCCATCATCATAAACAGGACTATTCTAGCGAATAAACCTGATATTGTGCTGATGGACCGGGCACAGTCAAGGATATTTTTAGTCGACATTAGCATTCCATATGACGAGAACCTAGTGCAAGGCTCAAGAGGTGACCGACATGTGGAGTGGTCCGTCGACCGAAATTATTCCCGTAGTCATCTCTGCGAATGGGCTAAACCCAGTTAACCTCTCGGGTCATTTGAGGCGACTGGGACTCCGTGACTGACAGCTCAAGAAATTACACACCGCATTCATACCGTAGAAATACATTAACCCTACCTTATGAAATAAATATGGCGTATCAAAGGTCACTATCTCTTTGTTATGGAATGCAAAATATAGTTGTTGCACATTTGCACCCAGGATAGAGAGAACTTGTAAATTTACTCCGTCCATGTCACAGACTGTTGCAGATATATTCATCCCAGCCTGAGAGCCTGGAAGTTATGCCAGCTATAACTGATTCAAGACCTGAAATCAAAAATTAAATATGTTTTACAACCGTTGAGCCTTTATAATCAAGTTTAACTTCAACTGTTGAAACAAAATGAAACATCATACAAAGTACTAATATTTACCTCTTTCATTAGTACAGTAAGTTGATTTGCAGTTAAAAATGCAGTGGAGAAATAGTGGGCAATGGGCTGTTTCAGTCTTCCTAATACTAACAATCATAAATATTAATGCATTTGATGCAATGACTGCAGATCTTACTTGTGTACTATGATCCTAATACACTTCAATCAAACCTTCTTTTGGATTATATATCACATTTTTTTAAAGACATTTCATCAAATATCAATATAAATTGATTGTCTGATGGTTTTTTATTATTCGTCATGCAGCACAGTTTTTAGTCTCTATTCCGTATTCCACTGCGAATCACTGTCAAACACATTGCACGCGAACGCAGAACCTCGATTTCTTTCTTTTTTGTTGTAAATGTACAGTACACTCATCACTTGAATCCATTATTCACCTCTTCATCACTTGAATCCATTATTGTTGAAAATTCTCTGTCTCTACAAATACATGTGTCTACAAATACAAAACGTCAAACTTATCTTTCAACATGAAAATCAAAATGACTGATTGATCGGACTGTGATGAGTCCGAGGAGCAGCTAATGGATGAGGAGATCGATGTAGGAGCGGACCTCTTACGAGTGGACGAAGTTTCAGACACGGTGTCCGAGTCTTTCATGGCTTCGGGGTCATCCTCCGCTAAGAATGCCGCGACGACGGGCGGAGGGTTACATGCCTGAGGGGCAATGGGGACCTGATTGGGGTAAAAAGCCCTAAGGAGTTGGGATTCGTCAATATTGAGGGGTATTCCATGATCTTGGCCAAATTGACGGATCAGGGCCGTAATCTGGACCGCAATCTGGCTATAAACTTGGTTCATATCTATGGCAGACATGTTGTTTTGGACAGGGAGGACGATTTACGATTTATTCTATATGTATATATTTCTACAAATTTGTTTACAAACATTTTGTTTCTGCAGATATATAGATATAATATAGTTAAAATATGTAATGTACAATAAACTGTCAAACATATTTCACTAAAACATGTTCCTTGACTATGCAAACGCTTTTTGACAGAAAACAGTGTTTAAAACATGTGTTTTATAGAAAATCGCATCAGTGCAAACCATAGAGTAGAGTAATATATACAGAAATATGAGTAATATATACAGTAATATATACAGAGATATGTTGCAAACGCACGGTTAGAGAAAACGACGAAACAAGTGCTTTGATGTCGATATGAACCTCAAGTTATTTTGATCGCTTGGGCACCTCATGAACTTGAGTGGCTGTCGTCATCAACTGTCCGCTAGGTTGAGCTGTCGTCAAAATCTCCCAAGGGCTTCGCAATGTGACGCATCAGCATATTGTGAAGAAAAAAAGAACATAAAATGAAGATTCCCAAAGAAAGGATAGGCTCAGAAGGTCTAGAAACCAGAGCCGTAAAGCCAGTTAATAAAGAAGAACTGACCATCACAAACGTAGACAGAGAAACCTATAGACTAATGATCGGCGTGGCCTCGAGTGAGAAAGGATGATAACGAATTTTTAGGTTATACAATAATCTTTATGACTTTTAAACACATTTAGATAAAAAATTTAATTGTTCTAAGAACTGAACTGAACAAGATTCACCAATCTTAGGCTCACAAAACACTTTTTTCTCACTTAAACCAACTTGTAAACTCCTTAAATCGCTACGCTTTCAAAGTTGTTTAGCAAACTGTAGAGTTTGCTAAACAAAAAAACCGGCACGGTGAAAGGGACAAACAATCACACCGCTCTTTCCTATTTTTCACTCTTTGCTATCTCATTTCTGTGCAAGACGTATGCATAAATCTATCTTTTTCGTGTGCGAATGCGAAAGAAGGCGTCAATTTGTCTATAGGTTTCTCTGTCTACGATCACAAACTAATAAGAGTACTAACCATAAAGAAGCTCAGAAGGGCTAGAACCCAGAGCCGCAAAGCCAGTTAATTAAAATAAAAACTAACCTTATGGTTAGTTTTTATTAAGATGATAGATACTATTAACCACAGATTATCATTAAGCCTCCACACCTAACCTTAATTTCACGTGGAACTTGTAAACAATGAATTTTTTTATCAAATAAAGATTGGTTATATGTTTAAAGTAAAGATTTTTTCTATATGATATTCGCCCTGAAATATTATTATGACGAAAGCCAGCAAAAAATATCATGAATTTAAAGGTATTTATGTTATTTTCGACTTTATTATGCGCGGTTATTAAATTTTTAGATTGTTTTATATTTTATTTTTAGCAATTGAACTTAAACTCACAGAGGGGTCGATATCACCACACACTATATATATAAAAGAGCATTCGGTACGAGAACATACGCCAGACAAACCATCCGGACGTACTCTTTTCATTATTAATGTTCCACCATACGCTGATGAAAATGGTATTAGCAATGCATTCCATGAAGCCGGTGCCGTACAATCTGTGCAATTCTGTATGAAACCTAATGCCACTGTCACAGAACCTGTCAAGAAATTTTTACCAGAGATTGTAAATCCGACCTTTAGAATTGCATATCTAGTCTTCAGAAAAGTTGCATATCTGGATAAGGCTTTAAAACTGACAAAATTAAAACCGATGTACTCTGCAATTCAAGATTTTAAAATTGGTTTAGATAAATGGATAGAACAACACAATAATTCAATACAGTTACCTAAAACCTTAAAAGAAAGCGTTGAAGTGTTCATGAAGTCTTATGATGAAAAAATGAAGAAAGCAGAGGAAAAAGAGAAACAATTAGAAGAAGAAGATGATGAAGGTTGGGTAACAGTTACAAAACGCGGCAAAGTCCAGAGTTTTGCTCGTACTGAAAAAGTTGAGAGTAAAATTATGGCTAAAGAAGAGAAAAACAAAAAGAAAAAAGAGCTGAAAAACTTCTACACCTTCCAAATAAGAGAATCAAAAATGAAACACATTGTTGCGCTTAGGCAAAAATTTGAAGAAGATAAAAGGAAAATAGCTCAAATTAAACAGAGTCGTAGATTTAAACCTTTTTAATAAAACTAATTTTATATTAAAAGCTATGTTTATTTACAAATTTATATATACAGTGCAACCTTCAAATCAGAAGGGAATAAGTAAAAATAGTTATATCAAGTAATTCCTTGAATTGAGGCTTGTTATGTTGAGGTTAGTTTGGTCTAAAATTTGTTGTAAAGAGGTAAGAAAATAGTTTTATTCACAACTTCTACTAATAAACTTTATGTAAAGGTTTTGGGTTGACAAAATTTGTTAATTGTATATTTACATTGTGTATTTACACTTTCTTGATAGTTGTAAATTCATTATAAAGAGGTTGTTCGCAAGAAACATTTGCAATGTAAAGGTATATTGTATATTGAATCTTATGGACAATTCGAGGGGATCACGAAAAATTTGTTAAATCGAGGAAGTTGTTATACTGAGGTATGTTATATTAAGGTTGCTCTGTATTTACATTTATTTTATTCTCTTCAAGTATAGAGTACTTTCTAATCTTGATTTAATAAAATTGAGATTGGTTTGGTAAAATTCTGATCTGAAAATTCTATTGAATATCCTTCATTTATTATCATTCCTGCCTTTATGTATTGAATTTAGAATATTAGCTGTGGTAGCTCAGGGGCTGAGGTAGCCATGGGCAGCTCTGGGGCTAAGCGCTCGCTGTAAATTTCACAGTTTGCAAGCAACTCACTTCGATCCCTGCTGGCCTCCAATGAAATTATTAATTACAATTTAAGTGCTGATTTATTTACCACATGCTTATCAGTGACAGAAAACATTTTGAGGGAACCGGCATGTCTGAGAAATAAGAAAAAATATTTCAAAGACAAGTTTGCCAACATGCATTGGGGCAGCATGGCGGACATTTCCTTACTCTAAAACCCTCTCAGAAATAATCAATAATGAGAGGTGGCCCCTGCCCAGCAGTGGGATGTATATAGGCTGTAGCTTTTCTTACAATATTAGTTATTTTTTTACACTGCATATTGAAACTAAAATATCACTAAACATCATATTCCTTGCCGATGTGTCTTGATTACAATCCTTAATAATCTATTTTCTGGTAATGTGTCCAATGATGCTAAAAGACTGCTGATGTTGCCATAAACACAGCCATTAGCTAAAGCCACTTGCACTGCTTGGCCTATACGGTCAAGGCTGTCCTAAAAATAAGAAAATTATTTTTGTTATTATATAAATAAAGTTTATTACTATTAATAAAGTAAGTTTACTCACACTTCAAAATGTCAAAATTTGAGACTCTATCATTTATATATTGAAATTATCCAAGATTCATGTGTTACAAGAAAATCAAAGCCTGGGTATGGGTGTTACATACATAAACATAAACACTCACGCCTGTCACCCAGAGGGGTAGGCAGAGACTACAGACTTCCATTTGGCACGATCCTGACACACCTCTCTTGCCTCCTTCACATCCATACACCTATGCATACATGCTCGTCGGTTAAGGGTAATCGCCAATTTGGTCGATAAATTTTCGCCTAGGACGTACCTTTCCGGCTCTGCCATTCACTTCTGCACCATAAATTTTCTTTGTCACTCTTTCCTAATTCATTCTTTCCACATGACCAAACCAACGAAGCATTCCTTTCTTAATCCTGGTCACAACATCATCTTGCATACCACATTTATCTCTTATCACGCAATTTCTCACCCCGTCATTCAGATTCAACCCTAACATACTCCTTAAAGACCGCATTTCTACAGCATTTATTCTACTTTCCTGCTTCTTCTGCCACACCCAGCTTTCACTACCATACATTAAAGTAGGGACTAACACAGCATTACGCATTACCATACGTGCCTTTTTTGATACATTCTGGTTCTTCACAATAGAGTGTAGTGCCCCATTCACTCTATTCCCTGCATTTACTCGTCGTTCTATATCCTTATCATTTCTCCCATCCCTGTTAAATACGCAGCCCAAATATACAAACTCATCTACTTGCTCGATCAACTCCCCTTCTATTCTTATTTCACAAATCGTTTTACTTTCTTCTCTTTCAAAAACCATCGTCTTACTTGCGTTCACTTTCATACCCCTTTCTTTTAATGATCCGTTCATTAATGTAACCATCATTTGCAACTCGGCCGCCGACGACGCAAGAATAACTTGATCATCGGCAAAATCGGCGGCCAAAAAGGCATTTGACGGTTAACTCACCCATTCTTAATCCGCATTCTTCAACTTTCAAATTTTGCAAACCACTGACCATAAATAGGTTGAACAGCCACGGGGAAGCCACACAACCCTGTCTGACACCTTTATGGATGTCAAACCAGTCCGAATAGACCCCGTTGATCCTAACACAAGCACTAGAGTCCGTATAAAGAGACTCCAATGCCTGTATCAAGTCAGCGCTCAACCCAAATGAGTTCAGTGTTTGTCATAGCAAATCTCTATCCACTCTGTCATAGGCCTTTTCCAAGTCCATGAACGCACAAAAAACCTTTTGGTTTTTGGCCAGAAACTTCTCCGCGATCATGCGCATGGAAAAGACTTGATCTGTACATCTAAATCCCGCTTGCACATCCCAAATTTTTCCATCAGTTTCTTTCATGACCCTTTCAATCAGTACCTTAGCATACAGTTATGGGTGTTGTAAAAGCCTATTTTATAAAATGTAATAAATTTTTCGCGGCTTCCAATATTTTTTAGAATAAGGGTAACAAACAGGCACATGATGGCAAGTGTATGGTGTGATCCATAGATATCTACATTTATCATTTCGATTTTGAATCAATATGCAAACCCCTGAAAACTAAGATGGAATGCCCCATTTCTAGTAAAAAATATCTTTGGTTCTCTTGCATCAGAGTTCAGTGGCGAAGCCTCCATAGAAGCCCAGAAGCCGGGCTTACTCTATCAAACTGCTCAATCAGTAATATCAACTAATAAAATAACTCGTAAACTGTTTCAAACTATTTCAAATTTCCTGCGTGCTCCTCTTTTCTAGGCAGGGCATGACCTCGTAGCATATAATATGTAACGTCAACACTTGGCAGTTTGCTTCCAATTCGAAATACACTGGACTGTCAAAATTAATTAAAGCAAGGAGTTGATTTTGTCGTCTCTCGCACGGGTTGGCTTTTTACCGAGAAGACGATCGCTCCCTTTCTAACCTGTGGCAAAATGTTCTATAATGAAATATAACTACGAAATGTTTACGTAGCAATTACTATGGAACCAAAAGCCGTGTTTTGCCCTGAAGTTGTTTAGGAGTGCGTTAACGAGTGGGGTTACGGGCGATACATTTACAAGTTCCCTTCACATTTCAATATTTATGTTTGTTTTTGTTGTGTCTGTTGAAAATTTATACTTTTTCAAAGATTTTTACTGAAAATGGGAGGATAATAGTATTCCTTGTGATCAATATAAGTGTGTTAAAGTTCTAATCGGCGAGGAAAAGGTAAAATCCCTAAAAATTAAATTTTAATTCAGTAAACATTTCTTCATACTTTAATAGGTACAAGACTCTTTAGTATTAAAGTTTAATTATTCTAGGCGTATTTAAAGGTTTAATAAATCAATACTTATATTACCATATGAGTTAAAAATATCATTTTGAACTTCAGCATAAAATATGAGATACCTAGGTATAAGTTTAATTTTATAGCAAATAATTGTTACAATCTTTTTTTAATGTGAAGCCCAAATTTTAATGTAATAAATTAAATGAATACGTGTATCGAGGTTTTTAAATAATATTTACTTTAGTCCTTCAGTTCAGTATATAAAATTTTAATAGCGCCATCTTCTTAATTCTATAGGTGAAGTCATTTTATCGAACGAAAATTGAATGATTCTCACGGTGGTACGTAAAAAATTACGCTAGATGAAACAAACACGTTATCGGCTAATTTAATATTTATACCTTAAGGCTTCCGTCCAGCTTTGCTGTTTTACATTCCCAGCCATTAGAGGGGGCGCTCTCCCTCGTGCATAAATACGTTCGAGATCACAGGTAAAGGTTGCTCTACTTCATTAAATATATAATTTATTAATTCTTTTCCAAAAATATTCCTTTTACTTTTGTCGTGGTAGTGTAATTTTTTACCTTTTTATATTTCATAAATGTCGTTTTTAGTGATGTTTATACGGGTTGTAGGTTTAAAAAGGGTATTATACAACCGAAGTAAAATAAAAACTACCTCTTCATACAAATTTTGCCCTACCTTGTACATTTTGTATGAAGAATCAGTCAATTATTTTCTATTTTCGATTTTTTTTTGTATTAAATGTGGTTCAGCTCTATGATTCCTTCATATCGGATGTATATGATTTTTTATATAATCTGTACATACAAATAACACTTGTACCTGTTTTCTTTTAAAGAGAAATAGTATAGGGAAGTAACATAGAAGGCAGTTGATAAAAAATCGAACAAAAAGTGAATACACATATACTTATTTATTTAGTTTGTTACATCATTAAAAGTAAGGAAATTTTTCGAGTGGTGTAATATTGTGTAGGGGTTAACTTTTTTGGGATTTTTTATGTCTTTTATTTTCTATTACTTCTATTATATACGGTGGGTCTTTTAGCGGCATAGAACGTTCAAGATGCGAATAAATTAATTCTGTTAGCACACAACTGTGATAAAACTTTGTCAAACAGAGCAGCATTGTTGTTTCCCAAAACTCTATACTTATTACTTCAACTCTTGCGTTACATTTCTTTTTACTGACAAGAATATTTCTTCTTTTTTCTAACCATCTTTTTCCGTCAATTTTTTTTTTTTGGTAATAAATTGAAATTGCTAATAAAATTATTAATCGAAAAATTATTAATAAAATTAAATTTGCCGACGATATAGTCCTTATGGCAGAATCGCTGGAGGACTTAAGCACTATGCTCAATGACCTCAATAGTGCCTCCCAACGGATAGGTCTTAAGATGAACATGGACAAAACAAAGATTATGTTTAATGTCCATGTCACACCTATGCCGGTAGTTGTTGGGAGCACTATGCTCGAAGTTGTTGACGAGTACGTTTACCTGGGACAAATAGTCCGACTAGGTAAGTCCAACTTCGACCGAGAGGTCAATCGACGGATTCAACTCGGCTGGGCAGCGTTCGGGAAATTACGACATATCTTCTCGTCAGGTATACCTCAATCTCTGAAAACTAAAGTGTACAACCAGTGCGTGTTGCCAGTGATGACTTACGGATCAGAGACGTGGTCCTTCACTGCTGGCCGTATGAGGACGCTCAAGGTCGCTCAGCGAGCTATGGAGAGGGCTATGCTCGGAGTTTCTCTGCGTGATAGACTCAGAAATGAGGATATCCGCAGTAAAACCAGATTGACCGACATAGCCCAACGGATTAGTAAGCTGAAGTGGCAATGGGCCGGCCATATAGCTCGAAGAACCGATAACCGATGGGGAAGAAAGGTTCTCGAGTGGCAGCCTCGTACCGGTAGGCGTAGTGTAGGGCGACCCCCCACTAGATGGAGTGACGACCTGGTAAGATATGCAGGAAGTCGATGGATGCAGGTGGCTCAGGACCGTGCTTTGTGGCATTACTTGGGGGAGGCCTATGTTCAGCAGTGGACTTGTGAAGGGCTGTGATGATGATGATGATGATGAATAAATTGAAATGTTTCAAATATTAAGTCGAAGTCAATTAATCTGATACAATAATACTAATATAAACACTAATACACTAACAATAGAACTAATATGACAATTAAATAAAAATAATATATATTTAAGTAGAGCAACTTTCACGATATGCTCCGCTCAGTCCATAAGAGCTGCGCGAGGGAAAGAAGATCAACCGTGCGAGCGAGAGGTAAAGTAACGTTGAGCAACACTGCACACGTCTGAACGCCGAAAAATCCCAGCGGAACTGAGAGAATTTTCAGGCGTTCCTGGTTTATAAATGGAATATACGTAAAAAGTACGAAAATATATATTTTTTTAATTTTAATTATTTCTAATTCACTTGAAAATAGTTCTGTTTTATGTGGTTTTAAGTACGACTTTGCTTCATTTATACTTCTAATAGAAAAAAAATAGATATTTGCAGTAAAAAAAAAATCATGAAATTACAACTTTTTAAGCCCTTCAAACAAGAAAATTAAAGCATTTATAAAAAAGTGACCAGATCAGATTATTGTAGACAATCATCATCAT